CAATAAATTAAAAATCTAAATTAATATAAGAACAATTAAAAAAGACACTAATTAAATAATAATCAAATAATTCTTTTTTTTTTAAGATAATAAAAAAGAAATTTTGTTTCGTTTGTTTCGCGACAAAAAATTTCAATAAATGAAAAATCTAAATTAATATAAGAACAATAAAAAAAGGCACTAATTAAATAATAATCAAATCATTCTCTTTTTTTTTTGTTTAACAAAATAAAAAAGAAAATTCGTTTGTTTGTTTCGTGAAAAGAATTTAAACAGAACAATCGGATATTCGCAATGAAAGTATCATAACTCGAGTCATGCGTGAGCCATTATGTTCGTGAATTACGTATAATAATAATTTCTTACATGCCATTAAACGAGATATCGTAAGAAACGAATCAACTTTTTCTGTCGTATTCATGAAAAAATAAGAAAATTATCAAAATAAGAAAAAAGAAAAAAGAAAACGAAAAATACCTTACAAGTGTCGCCAAAATTTGAGTTGAGAGTCCGATCAATATTTTTCTATTTAAACCAATCATATTTCAATATTATAGTTATATATTATTATATATATAAAATTAATAATATAATTAATTATATAACAATAACAACAATATAATTAATAATATAACAATAACAATAATGATAAGACATTGTAAAAAACTTTGTAAGTTGTGCAATAAAAACCTGATTATATATATAACATGATTATTATCATGTATTTAACTAATAATAGATAACTTGTATAATTTATTAATTAAATCTGCTCTCATTATTAATAAAATAATAAACAATAATATAATCATTCATTGAATACGAATTGATCATTAATTTATATATATTATATAAATCACTTTTTCTAAATATCATAATCAATATATAATTTTGATCATTAGAATCATTATAATTTTTCTTAATTATTATTATTATATATTTCACGAGAATAAATAATTCACGAAAGAAAAACAAAAACAAAAATGAACTATTACTTGAAAATAAAAGAAATAAAATTATATAGTATTGTCTTTTTTATTTTTTTTTATTTTTTTTTAATAAATCCTATCGACAAAAATTTCATAATAAATTTACGCGAGAACAGACATTTACTTTTTAATAATTATTTGTCTTTATCTTTCTTACGGAAGTTTGCTAACATAAACGATCAGAAAATTTGTAGAAGAGAGTTTGGATCGTTGTTGACCTTGGAAATGCTTGTTTCAAAAATAGTGGCCTACCTAGTGGTCCAGGGTCTTTCTTTTTACTTTTTTTTTTTCTCTTCTTTTTCTCTCTCTCTCTATCTCTCTCTATTTCTCTTTCACGTTTCTAAACACATTGAAACATATTTTAACGTATGTATATATACGTTTTAGAAACTATCTATACAAAACCACGCACGAGTAACGAACGAACGAACATCCGTCATCCATCTGTCGAAAAAAAAAAAAAAGAAAGAGAGAGAGAGAGAGAGAGAGAGAAAGATTAAAAGAAAAAAGACAAGGACGAGAATAATGACTAAAGCAAAAGGCTTAAATATCGTTGTTAAAAGAAAGAAAAATAAATATATACGAGAGATATGATATACGTGTTTGATATTTAATTTTATATAATTGTTATTAAACAAAAATTATTATATTATTTTAT